CTGAATGTTGCTTATTGGTTTTGACATTTTGTTATCTAGAATTTGGAAACAAAATGGCTTAAGTTTTGAAGAATACTGTAAACGCCTTAATCCTTTTCTAACTCACTTAACGTAAATGCAATTAATAATTTTATGTTTTGTGACGAATTCAATAGAATTTTCTTTTTTTAAACTTTAAACTTTATACCACATTTATTTCTTTTAATATATGTATTTGCTTAATAAGTACATATGTTAAAGGTCAAAGTTGAGAGAGTACATGTAATTTCTTTATATTATAAAACCACAAATAATTGTTAAAAAACCTAAAACATAATCTTTGAAAAAATAATTAAAAGAAGAAAACCCCCAAATTTACACCTGTGAAAAGGAATAGTAATAATAGAATTAATATATGTATATATATATATTTTTTGAAATATAATTATGTAAATCTAAAGGACCAAAAACAAGATGGTTTGAAATTTAAATTTTTCTACAGTTTTCCTTCAAAATTTTCAAATATTTAATTGAAGCTTTTTAATGTAAAATAATCTTTATAATTCAAATTATATTATTATACATACACAATTATTTTAATTTTTAATTTGTCCCCATTTTTTCTTTAATATTTTTTATGCGTTTATCTTTACTTATTTAGTTAAATATTTAAGATTTCTTCTATTTATAAAAAAAAAAAACATTTATTTCTTTTGTACATAAACAAAAATGGCGGCGTCATCTTAAAAACATATTAAAATCATAATATCTTTTTCGACTGAGAATAATTTGATGTTTTTTCGGTTTTATTTTCTCAATTTATGTCTCTCTTTTATTTACTTTTTATTTTTTTAATATTTATTTTTATTTCTTAATTTTTTTTAAGTTTTTATGTCTGTTTTTCTCAATACATTTTAATATTTGCGTATTTATTTATAAATTGTTGTTGTTTTTAGCATATTTATGCGAAAAGCAGAAAAATTATTTATAAATTTATAGGTATATGCGAATTTTTTTAGTGGGATTTTAAGATTTGTATTTATTTTTTGAAATCTGTAAATATTAAATATTTATTTACTTTATTTTTGGCAGTTAACGGTTATGAAGCGTTTAAGAAAGTGTTAATTTTTTAATAAATATTTATTATGAAGTGGGTTAAATGTGGAAATAAAGAAATTGGAACTTTGTTTGCTAAATTGTAAACTTTTGCTATTTTACGATTTATCACTCAAATAGAACTATACTAGAACTGAACTAGAACTGAACTAAAACTGAACTAAAACTGAACTAGAACTGATCTAGAACTGAACTAGAACTGAACTAGAACTGAACTAGAACTGAACTAGAACTGAACTAGAACTGAACTAGAACTGAACTAGAACTGAACTAGAACTGAACTAGAACTAAACTAGAACTGAACTAGAACTGAACTAGAACTGAACTAGAACTGAACTAGAACTGAACTAGAACTGAACTAGAACTGAACTAGAACTGAACTAGAACTGAACTAGAACTGAACTAGAACTGAACTAAAACTGAACTAGAACTGAACTAGAACTGAACTAGAACTGAACTAGAACTGAACTAGAACTGAACTAGAACTGAACTAGAACTGAACTAGAACTGAACTAGAACTGAACTAGAACTGTACTAGAACTGAACTAGAACTGAACTAGAACTGAACTAGAACTGAAGTAGAACTGAACTATAGATCATAAGTAGACTTATTTTAAAATTAAAATATTTCAAAAATTTATATAAAAAAAGGTTTCCAATTATTTTCTTTTAATAAAATTTAGTTCATTTTTAATAATTTATAACCTTTATTACATAATTTTAACAATATTTTTTTCTTTATTTAGGGTCTGGAATATTTGTGTCACCTTCTGGTCTACTAGTTCGAACTGGTTCCGTTGGTGTTAGCTTTATAATATGGCTGGCCTGTGGTTTGCTCTCCTTGTTGGGTAAGTTACAATAAAAAACAACATTAACAATAATAATTCTTGAAAGGATTAAATAAACCATAATAAAAACAAAACAAACAATCAACAGGTTATTCGAAAACCTCTATATGAAATCAAGCCAAATAGAGGTCATGTCAAAAACAACATTCTTCTCTACAAAAAAAAATGACTTAAAAGTAATCTACACACAAATTTGTTTAAACACAAACAATTTGTTGAAATGTTCTAATTATTTTAAATAGTATAGAGAGAAAATAAAAAAACGATTGAAATTAGATATAAAAAAACTTCTAGACTAGCGCCTTGTAAGCAAAACTGTAACCTGTTGCACATGATGATGAGGTTGATAAACGCCACATTTCTTTTTTTTCGTGTGTAGAAAGAATACAATTTTGGCTAAATGCCAAATTTCGGATTTTTTGTACACAATATCTGTTTAAATATACATATGTATATACAATGTATGGATACGTAAAATTTTATATTATAGAGGTAAAACTAAAGACGATTTGTTTTAAGATTGTGGAATATAATGCAGTAGTATTTAGTTAAGACAATAAGTAACTTTCTAAGTTAAATTAAAAAAAAATTTCCTGAACTGGATTACCCTACAGAAATTCCAAATATATCAAAAATTTTGTAAACTGAACTAGAACTGAACTAGAATGAACTAAACTGAACTAGAACTGAACTAGAACTGAACTAGAACTGAACTAGAACTGAACTAGAACTGAACTAGAACTGAACTAGAACTGAACTAGAACTGAACTAGAACTGAACTAGAACTGAACTAGAACTGAACTAGAACTGAACTAGAACTGAACTAACTGAACTAGACTGAACTAGAACTGAACTAGAACTGAACTAGAACTGAACTAGAACTGAACTAGAAACTGAACTAGAACTGAACTAGAACTGAACTAGAACTGAACTAGAACTGAACTAGAACTGAACTAGAACTGAACTAGAACTGAACTAGAACTGAACTAGAACTGAACTAGAACTGAACTAGAACTGAACTAGAACTAAACTAGAACTGAACTAGAACTGAACTAGAACTGAACTACAACTGAACTAGAACTGAACCGAACTGAACTAGAAACTAACTAGAACTGAACTAGAACTGAACTAGAACTGAACTAGAACTGAACTAGAACTGAACTAGAACTGAACTAGAACTAGAACTGAACTAGAACTGAACTAGAACTGAACTAGAACTGAACTAGAACTGAACTAGAACTGAACTAGAACTGAACTAGAACTGAACTAGAACTGAACTAGAACTGAACTAGAACTGAACTAGAACTGAACTAGAACTGAACTAGAACTGAACTAGAACTGAACTAGAACTGAACTAGAACTGAACTAGAACTGAACTAGAACTGAACTAGAACTAAACTAGAACTGAACTAGAACTGAACTAGAACTGAACTACAACTGAACTAGAACTGAACCGAACTGAACTAGAACTGAACTGGAACCGAACTAGAACTGAACTAGAACTAAACTAAACTGAACTAGAACTGAACTAGAACTGAACTAGAACTGAACTAGAACTGAACTAGAACTGAACTAGAACTGAACTAGAACTGAACTAGAACTGAACTAGAACTGAACTAGAACTGAACTAGAACTGAACTAGAACTGAACTAGAACTGAACTAGAACTAAACTAGAACTGAACTAGAACTGAACTAGAACTGAACTAGAACTGAACTAGAACTGAACTAGAACTGAACTAGAACTGAACTAGAACTGAACTAGAACTGAACTAGAACTGAACTAGAACTGAACTAGAACTGAACTAGAACTGAACTAGAACTGAACTAGAACTGAACTAGAACTGAACTAGAACTGAACTAGAACTGAACTAGAACTGAACTAGAACTGAACTAGAACTGAACTAGAACTGAACTAGAACTGAACTAGAACTGAACTAGAACTGAACTAGAACTGAACTAGAACTGAACTAGAACTGAACTAGAACTGAACTAGAACTGAACTAGAACTGAACTAGAACTGAACTAGAACTGAACTAGAACTGAACTAGAACTGAACTAGAACTGAACTAGAACTGAACTAGAACTGAACTAGAACTGAACTAGAACTGAACTAGAACTGAACTAGAACTGAACTAGAACTGAACTAGAACTGAACTAGAACTGAACTAGAACTGAACTAGAACTGAACTAGAACTGAACTAGAACTGAACTTAGAACTGAACTTGAACTGAACTTGAACTGAACTAGAACTGAACTAGAACTGAACTAGAACTGAACTAGAACTGAACTAGAACTGAACTAGAACTGAACTAGAACTGAACTAGAACTGAACTAGAACTGAACTAGAACTGAACTAGAACTGAACTAGAACTGAACTAGAACTGAACTAGAACTGAACTTAGAACTGAACTAGAACTGAACTAGAGCTGAACTAGAACTGAACTAGAACTGAACTAGAACTGAACTAGAACTGAACTAGAACTGAAGTAGAACTGAACTAGAACTGAACTAGACTAACTGAACTGAACTAGAACTGAACTAGAACTGAACTAGAACTGAACTATAACAGAACTAGAACTGAACTAGAACTGAACTAAGAACTGAACTAGAACTAGAACTAGAACTGAACTAGAACTGAACTAGAACTGAACTAGAACTGAACTAGAACTGAACTAGAACTGAACTAGAACTGAAACTAGAACTGAACTAGAACTGAACTAGAACTGAACTAGAACTGAACTAGAACTGAACTAGAACTGAACTAGAACTGAACTAGAACTGAACTAGAACTGACTAGAACTGAACTAGAACTGAACTAGAAACTGAACTAGAACTGAACTTGAACTGAACTTGAACTGAACTTGAACTGAACTTGAACTGAACTAGAACTGAACTAGAACTGAACTAGAACTGAACTAGAACTGAACTAGAACTGAACTAGAACTGAAACTAGAACTGAATTAGAACTGAACTAGAACTGAACTAGAACTGAACTAGAACTGAACTAGAACTGAACTAGAACTGAACTAGAAACTGAACTAGAACTGAACTAGAACTGAACTAGAACTGAAATAGAACTGAACTAGAACTGAACTAGAACTGAACTAGAACTGAACTAGAACTGAACTAGAACTGAACTAGAACTGAACTAGAACTGAACTAGAACTGAACTAGAACTGAACTAGAACTGAACTAGAAACTGAACTAGAACTGAACTAGAACCTGAACTAGACTTGAACAGAACTGAACAAGAACTGAACTAGAACTGAACTAGAAACTGACTAGAACTGAACTTGAACTGAACTTGAACTGAACTTGAACTGAACTAGAACTGAACTAGAACTGAACTAGAACTGAACTAGAAACTGAACTAGAACTGAACTAGAACTGAACTAGACTGAACTAGAACTGAACTAGAACTGAACTAGAGCTGAACTAGAACTGAACTAGAACTGAACTAGAACTGAACTAGAACTGAACTAGAACTGAACTAGAACTGAACTAGAACTGAACTAGAACTGAACTAGAATGAACTACGGAACTGAACTAGAACTAGAACTGAACTGAACTAGAACTGAACTAGAACTGAACTAGAACTGAACTAGAACTGAACTAGAACTGAACTAGAACTGAACTAGAACGAACTAGAACTGAACTAGAACTGAACTAGAACTGAACTAGAACTGAACTAGAACTGAACTAGAACTGAACTGGAACAGAACAGAACTAGAACTGACTAGACTAGAACTGAACTAAAACTAGAACTGAACTAGAACTGAAGAAGAACTGAACTAGAACTGAACTAGAACTGAACTAGAACTGAACTAGAATGAACTAGAACTGAACTAGAACTGAATAGAAACTGAACTAGAACTGAACTAGAACTGAACTAGAACTGAACTAGAACTGAACTAGAACTGAACTAGAACTGAACTAGAACTGAACTAGAACTGAACTAGAACTGAACTAGAACTGAACTAGAACTGAACTAGAACTGAACTAGAACTGAACTAGAATGATCTAGAGCTGAACTAAAACTGAAGTAGAACTAAACTAGAACTCAAATTTAATAAAAAAAAAACATTTTCTATAAAAAGATAAATTTTCAATAAAAAAGTTCCTAAAGAATGTATTCTTTAGTTAGTTTTGTATGCATTTTTATAAGTTTTGCAGCAGCAATAAATCTTTATTGTTTATAGTATTTAAAGCATCATTTCATTGAAAATCTTAATGCATTCAATAGTTTTTTATAACCATTTTCTTTAAATGTCTAATAAAACATGTATCTATCTGTCTGCTACATCTACATATAAACTACAATTGTTATAAAAGCTAAACACAGAAATTGAAAGTTCGGTCAATATACAAAACTACAAAGAAAAATATATTTCAAAAACAAACAAAAATCATGTTAAGGCCATTTGAATGGGAGAGTTCCGATTTTGTTTTTTTATTAATTGCTCTTTTTCGATTTTATTTTCTTATTTCATTTATATTTTACTTTTTCACGTGGTTTTTCTTTAAATTTTGATTTATTTTCGTTTCGTGTTTGTTTTTTATAAATTTTAAAAACAAAAACAATTTAATCATGTAGTAATGAAATGTTCATATTAGAGATAGTTTTATATACTACTTGTAAATTTAAAAGTTTTTCTATTTTATTTAAATTAAATTATTTATTTTCGTTTTTTTTTTTTTTTATTTGTTGCCAAGTTCAAGTGTTGTTGAAGGATTTCTATTGAATGTAAACATTTATTATTATTTTATAGTAGAGTAGGTAGTATTTATGGCGATTTATGATAGATATTTTTAGAAAATTTCATTTATTTCTTCTATTATTTGAATTCTTGCACGTAGTCATTTGGTTTAAGATAATAGAAAAGTTTTCCGAGAGTGGTTTACTGTTAAATGTATTATACTTTGGAATTTCATTTATTCAGATCTATTAAGAGATGTTCTCAAGACTGGCATTAATGAATTTAAAAAGGGCTTATTGTCA